CTGATGAAATTGCTTCTGTCAAAGTTATCCGTGTTTGTTCCTTGTTGAACGGAAGGGGCAAAGATTATCCTTTCCCACCAGTAGCAAAACCTTGACGAACCAAAAAGCTGTGGTCTTTCTAAAGAAAGCGCTCGGTTATATGGCACAGTACTTACCATATTTCCTTTACAATTTGTCACTCCAATGACTGCATAGAAGTCCACAAATTGGACACTTTAACCACACATTTCTAGCTTCAAAGAAAATCGAGGTACAAGCAGTTCAGAAATAATCGAATTAAAGCTGAAATTTGAAGCTCAGCTGATCATCATAGCAGCAAGACACATGAAATGATTTTGAAATAATTTTGCAAAAAAAGTCCTACCTTGTAAAGAGCCTTTGCAACCATCAATCGGAGGAAGTTGTCAGCATTGAGTGGGCATTTTAATGTTATTAAAATGTGACTTTGCTACAAATAAGATCGTTTTCAATTCGTATCTCCATCATAATTCTCTTTTCTGCATCAGGCCTAGTCTTTGTTTCTTTAGGAGGAAATGGGTACATTAATGACTACTCTACTGGACGACTTTTACGGGATGCTAAGCTTTATGAGATCGGTGCCGGCACTAGCGAGGTAAGAATTTTTTCTTTTAGCTACTAGTATAGCTGGAATAGATTCTGTATATTCAGGTTCGACGACTGATCATCGGACGAGCGCTGAATAAGGAGTATGGCCAATAATAGATTATAATTTAGATATTTTTGCAAAATGATGCATCTAAGATTTGTAATAGTCTCATTTTGACTCATCTAGATAGGTGTTTTATAGTATCGCATAGCGTTTGGTGTGACTTTTCCGTCTTTTCTCTGCTCACAGCTCAATAACTGAAATCTCCATCAATAACCTCCAAATCTGACCTCTACTTCCTTTTCAATGTTACCTAATTATTTCTCATATTTAAAGCAGCCTTTTTTATAGTAACTAACCACTAGATGTATTTGCTGATTGTACACTTTTTATTGTCAAAGTTTTCTTGCT